AGCAATGAGACTTTACTTCTTAGCAGCAGCCGTCACCTGTTTCTACACGATGAAGAGGAATTTATCGTGAACGTGCTGCAGTTTTACCTCTCAGCTCTCTGTTAAACCACAGATTTGGGTGACACCTCTTTAAAGCGGAACTCAAACCTGAGTTAAGACTCTGTGAAGGTTCTGACAGATTAAAGAGTTTGACTGTAACATGGTCGTTTTCTCTCTGCAGGGGTTCACACAGGATCGTGTGTAAAGTTTGACACTTTGAGGAAAACCTGTGAGGTTTCTGCGTGGTGTCCGGTCGAAACAAAGACAAAACCTCCCAGGTAAAACCCTGCTGTGAGCAACTCCTCCGTTTTATAGTCTGCATCTATTGAAAGCACATCTGAAAACAGGTTCATATGTTTGTACACTCCAGCGGTCATGAATGATTCTACTATTATCTTCAACTCAGGAGACTTTGCACCACTGGCGTGTGGACTCAGACGTTTTGTCCTGACACTTTAAGATGCGAGGGTAATGCTAAGTCAGAGCGCCGTGACCATTTCAGCGTCTTTTCTTTTCTCTATGTGCCACGAGTGACTCTGGCAAGAAAACCCACCGTCACCGAGTCACAGCTGTGTACCCTGCCCCCAAATAATTACTTTACCTGCAGCGATCTAACAGCAGCAGAAACAAGTGTGAGTCTCAGTTTGAGTAATTACAGACAAAGCTCATGGAGTTGTCAGCATATATATATATATAACAGCATGGGACCCAGAACAGAACCCTGTGGGACACCACATGACAGAGGTGCTGTTAGAGAGTTTGGATGCAAACCAATCCAAGGCACTACCAGAGAGGCCCACCAGCTGGTTCAGTCTGTTTTAAAGAACACAACTGTCAACAGTCTCAGCAAAGAGTTAACACGTACATTTTTGTCCACCCGGGGGTGCCAAAATCAACAAAAACAAACGTTCCTCACAGGAGCTTTGGGTGCACAGCTGTTTAGTCTGTTTTGGAAGTAAAGGAGCTTTCAGTGTGTTTCTGTCAGTGATTTGTTTGTATTAACTGTTTGATCTTTTATTTTTCTATAATGTAGACCCGCTCTGCTGGCAGCAGCTGAGAACTTCACCGTGCTCATAAAGAACAACATCAGGTTTCCTGCCTTCAAGTTCATCCGGTGAGAGTTTGATAAGGATACAGGATTACGTGATACACAGACTGAAACATCAGATTTTCTAAAGATGAGGGTTTGAAACAGTTTCCTTATTAAATAAAGCGAAGCCACAGCTGTGTGTGAGCCAGCAGCCAGGTTTCACATGGCAGGAACTTTAAAACATTGAATCATTGTTTTTCTAAGTTATTTTCCTGTTTTGTTGTGCAGTTGCAGAGAGACGTTTGGCAGACTCTTCTTGTTGGTCTGTTCAAGGAATCCCAAATATTTAAGTGTGTTGTGTGTTTGCTGTTTTGCAAAAACAGACTTTATCATTTAAAAGTCAGTGAACAGACGCAGCTGTGAACACTTTTATCACAGCTCTGAAAGTTTGTGTAAGGACCGGACCACACAGAGGTGTTGCTAGAAATGCGTAACCAGCAAAACCATTGCTTTCATACTGAACAGCATAGCTAAAAAAAAAAAATCAACTTTTCAGCTCAAGTCGCAGAGTCACAGCGCTAGTCTATGTCGCTAGTAGGAGGCTATACATGCACTTTTTATGACAATCACTAAAAGCATCTTAGGACCTCAGATCCTGCTGGAAACAGAGTCTGAACATTTTCCGGGTTTGCAGCTCTTCATGGTGTCTCTTCAGCGGGAGAGGAACTCTTCATCTTTTAACCTAAAGTCTGTTTGTTTGTCTCAGGAGGAACATCCTCCCAAACATGAATGACGCCTACCTGAGGAGCTGCGACAGAAGAAACGACTCGCTGTGTCCCATCTTCAGACTGGGAGACTTGGTCAGAGAAGCCGGAGAGAAGTTCTCCGAGATGTCTGTGGAGGTGAGGATTCACATCAGGCAGATGTTCAACATGAGTCTGGATCTACTCGAGGCTTCTGCCTGTTAAAGGACGTTTTCTGTCGTCTAGCTCTTTTTGTAAAGACGTTTTAGATAACTTTTGTTGTGATTTGATAACATAGATATAAGAATCCACTTGACTTCACAGTTTGTATGTTTCTGCCTTGAAGGTGAAATGAATTTTCTCTCAAACCGGCTTTTTCTTCATTAAGTTAATTAATATCAACTGACATTTTTGTCATTTAAATTAGTTATGTAGTCGCGTTAAATTTTTAACAGAGAACATTTTAAGACAGTAGGAATGACCGTTCTGTGTTGTCGAGGATAAGCAAGCCCAGGCCTTCCTCGAGTGGTGGACCTACAGGGTGCTTCAGGTTCAGCCGGGTAGAGGAGGGTTTCCAGTTTGGGGGCCTAAAAAATCTCATCTCTGCTTTTTGCAGATGATGTGGTTCTGTTGGCTTCTGCAGACTGGGACCTCCAGCAGGCATTGGGACGGTTTGCTGCTGGGCTGAGGTTCAGCGCCTCCAAGTCCGAGGCCGTGGTTCTATGCTGGAGTGAGTCTTTGAAGGTGTTTAAGTATCTCAGGGTCTTGTTCACGAGTGAGGGTAGGATGGACCTTGAGATTGACAGACAGATTAGTTCAGCGTCAGCAGTAAGGTCGGTGTTGTACCGGACCGTTGGGGTGAAGAGCGAGCTGGGCCCTGAAGGCAACACTCTCGATTTTACCGGTCGACCTTTGTTCCAACCCTCACCTGTGGTCATGAGGTTTGAGTAGTGACTGAAAGAATAAGATGGTGGATACAAGCAGCTGAAAGAGTTTCCTCCTGAGGGTGTCTGGACTCGGCCTCAGAGAGACGGGGAGGAGCTTAGACATTCAGGAGGAGCTCGGAGTAGAATCGCTGCTCCTTCACATCGAAAGGAGCTAGTTGAGGGGGTTTGGGCATCTGGTTTGGATCCTCCTGGACTCCTCCCTTTGGAGGTTTTCTGGGCATGCCTAACTGGGAGGAGACCCCGGGAGTTCACTTGAGGGATTATAGATCCTGTCTGACCCAGGAACGTCTCAGAATCCTAAAGGATGAGCTGGAAAATGTTGCTGGGGACAGGGACGTCTGGGTTGGCTTACTGTTGCCACGGCGACACAACCTTTCTCATTTCATTTCAAACCTTTATTTATTCTTGAAAGGACACGAAAGGTTTCTCATGTCCAGTGCCGTCGAGATTACAAGCACAAAAAAAACACCAAAAACAACAACAAACAAATGGATTACATTCAAATTAAAAACATGTACAATTCAAAACAAAGTGGCTAGAAATCAAACTCCTAAACTCTGTAAGAGAGGGAACATCCTCAGATAAGTTGAAGAATGAATGGATGGTTTGATGGATGAAATGACCGTAGTGGAGAAAACCCAGGAATGATCAAACAGAAACATTTCATCAAAGTGACCTTGGTAAAGAGATAACAAACATCCTCGTGCATGTCTTCATGTTTCCTTTAGAAAATCTGAAAATAAGAGATGGGTCCACGACTCTTCACATCCACTTTCTCTTTTTCAGTTTTCAGTCAGCAGATTTTAATCCAGAGGAAGAGAGCGAGGAAAGCTGAAATGAAACGGCTGAAAAGAGGAAGTGTTTGTACGGAGAACTTTCTTCAGATTGTTTTGATAGAAAAAGAAACGTCCGCTTTTAGTTTCTATAAAAAGAAGAATTCTGTGTTTGTCTTAAGATGATTCAGAATCAGAACCGGTGAGGTTAAGCATTGATCATTTATAAGTCTGTTGTTTTGGATACTGGCTGGGAGGTCTGAGGTGTGAGAGCAGGGTTCAGGTGTCTGGGTTTAAAATTTCTCCAGTGTTAAGAGGTTCAGATTCAGAGGCAGCGTTGCAGAGGGGAGGTCTCGGAGCTGGGTTTTGGAATATGGAAGACTGGTAGCACGGAAATCTGCGAATCAGCGTAACCGAAGTTTTTAAAGGGGACATATTATGAAATATCCACAGTGTTTTTGAAAATATATTTAGGTACACACACATTTAGGGAGAAGAGGAGGGGAGAGATGCTGAGATCCTCACGATGATGATTATGATTAACTGTGTGTCCATAAAGTCAGGATGAAGAATCTGATTTTCAGGCTCATTATTTAACATTTCTTCACTGTGAACATTTTTCTACTCAAGTTTTTGAGTATTTTGAGAATTGTTATCATGAAAAAATTCACAAACATGAGACTTTATTCTGGTGGAGTTTAACAGTTTGAAGTTTTTACTTTTTCTTTATTTTATGAACTCCCTTTTTAGACGTTCCTCAGTAAACCCGCTCCTCACAGCTGAAATACTACCATTTTAGTATGGTACTCAGTGCCTCAACAACTAATGTGCAGTTTTGTAATTATTGGTTCATAGTAATTAGAATCTGTTGCAACATTAAGAACATTTTGAAGCTGTAACATCTCGTTTTGAAAAAACACATCTATATAAAACTAGTTTCTGTATCAGTGTCAGCTGAGAGAAACAAAGTGTATAAATACTGACTCCTTTTTCAGGTTTTTGTGGTGAATAATGCTTCTCCTCTGTTGACCACAGGGGGGCGTCATTGGCATCATGATAGAGTGGGACTGTAACCTGGACCGTCTGATGCAGAGCTGCCTGCCCCGATACACCTTCAGACGTCTGGACGAGAAGGAGAGCAACAGGACGCTTTACCCCGGACTCAACTTCAGGTGAGTCGCTTCAAATGTTTCAAACATCAGACACATGAAACTGCAGAACTACAGAACTAAAAACATCAGACACATGAAACTGCAGAACTAAACATCAGACACATGAAACTGCAGAACTAAACATCAGACACATGAAACTGCAGAATTAAAAACATCAGACACATAAAACTGCAGAACTAAACATCAGACACATGAAACTGCAGAACTAAACATCAGACACATGAAACTGCAGAACTAAAAACATCAGACACATGAAACTGCAGAACTAAAAACATCAGACACATAAAACTGCAGAACTAAACATCAGACACATGAAACTGCAGAACTAAAAACATCAGACACATGAAACTGCAGAACTAAACATCAGACACATGAAACTGCAGAACTAAAAACATCAGACACATGAAACTGCAGAACTAAAAACATCAGACACATGAAACTGCAGAATTAAAAACATCAGACACATGAAACTGCAGAACTAAAAACATCAGACACATGAAACTGCAGAACTAAACATCAGACACATGAAACTGCAGAATTAAAAACATCAGACACATGAAACTGCAGAATTAAAACATCAGACACATAAAACTGCAGAATTAAAAACATCAGACACATGAAGCTGCAGAATTAAAACATCAGACACATCAAACTGCAGAATTAAAAACATCAGACACATGAAACTGCAGAATTAAAAACATCAGACACATGAAACTGCAGAATTAAAAACATCAGAAGAAAAAAAGTGACTTTTCCTGGTAGTGAAGATTATTTACAGAGAAGAAGAAGAAGAAACTTTACCTGAAGTCAAAGACCTGAACACGGTCCTGATCTGTAAATAAAGACCAGTTTTCATGTCTTTAATCAGGCTGGACATCGAGATGAAGTAGGCTCTTTAAATGTTGATCATGTCTTCTGATCAGGTACGCAAAGTACAACACGGTGAACGGCGTGGAGGAGCGAACGCTCTACAAAGCTTTTGGGATCAGGTTTGATGTCATGGTGTTCGGACAGGTGGGTCGGGTCTTCTCTTTTCTCTTTACTCACTGTTCTGTGTTTTCTGCACAGATTTCAGTCCTTTAAAAACAACGATCTGTAAGATGTGCAGCTTCTCAGTCGTCCAGCTCATGGTACTCAAAGCTTGATCAGAAGGCAGCTGGACCGGCTGAAGATCTTAAACATGTTTCACCCTCTCCTCCTCCAAGAGGCTTCTTCAGCTCTAAACTTCCTGGTGGGCGGAGCAAGATTTAAGCCTCTGTGGATCATTAGCATGCTAATGCTAAAGGATGACTCACATCAGAGTAGCTGAGTTGTTAACCTCTAGAAAGGAAGAATAATGAATAAAACTTGTTTTACAATCAATTTGGAGAAGAGAAATTGTGTGTGTGTGTGTGTGTGTGTGTGTGTGTGTGTGTGTGTGTGTGTGTGTGCCCTCAACTCTTAGATAACCACACAAACTGTGTGAGGTGTCAGGGGTCAAAGGTCAAAGCATCCACACAAAACAGAGTTTAAATCTGATAAAAAGGAAGGAAGAGGTTTTCCTGTTAAATGTGTAAAAACGTGCTCACCCCCAGAGCTAACGATTAAAAACAGAAGTTTAATAAAAAGAGGTGCTGTAGCCTCAAACTGTGACTGATTCTAAACATGTCAGCTGATTTGTTCTTCTCTCAGCTGGTACGACAAGTGAAGGAAACCCTGACACTCCACTGAGGCGTTAAAGGGTTAAAATAAAGAACCAATGAATGAGAGTTTGTTCTGTTCTGCAGGCGGGAAAGTTCAGCTTCGTCCAGCTCATCATCTACATCGGATCAACGCTGTCGTACTACGCTCTGGTGAGAGAACGACCTCCATATCATCAATGAGTGCTGAACGCTGTGAGCTCAGTGTGAGAGGAGGAGGAGCTCTGACAAACCAATCAGAGCTCAGACGATACCACTCCACACAACATGGCCTGTGACCAACATCCTTTATTTAATCATTCTTTGTCATTAGGTGCAGTGATTAAAGGAGCAGTATGTAACTCTGACCCCTGGTGTTTAAAATGGGTACTGCAGTCTGAATTCTAAACATCATAGAGAGCTGTCCCCCCCCCTCCCCCTCCTCTCTAGAGTGGATGCTCACTCAGGTCACCATGTGGTGGACTCTGAAGCTTCGGTGTTTATCCAGCTCTGCATGGGTCTGTAAACCTTTCTGTGTTCTAACCTCTCTCCATTTTTCAAAAGCATCTCCAATATTGATCCTAGTTTGAGCACGTTTCTGCTCGTGGAGCTTATTAGAAACATGCAGAGGCTTTTTAGGTCGGGTACAATCACTTCTATCTGAACCACTTCTCTTGTTGGTTTGACCTGATAACTGCTCTCATATCTGGCGCCTTTCCTCTCAGTTCTAACAGATTTAGTGTTTTAAGGATCATATTTCATCTCTGTATGCTTTTTGATCTCTAACAAACATTTTGTGTTCATGTGACAAATATCTAAACTGTTTCTCTTCTTTATGATGTGCTCAGACTTGGTGCGTTGATGTTTAAATGTAACTGGTATTATTAACTGGTATGTAAATGTAACTGGTATTATTAACTGGTATGTAAATGTAACTGGTATATAAATGTAACTGGTATTATTAACTGGTATGTAAATGTAACTGGTATTATTAACTGGTATATAAATGTAACTGGTATTATTAACTGGTATATAAATGTAACTGGTATTATTAACTGGTATATAAATGTAACTGGTATTATTAACTGGTATATAAATGTAACTGGTATTATTAACTGGTATATAAATGTAACTGGTATTATTTCTGTGTCTCCAGACGACCATAATGATCGATTGGCTGATTGGAACGAGCTGTTACTCTGCAGAGGTCGGACAAAACTACTCGGAGAAGAAGGTGGAGTCGGTGAAGGACAATCAGAAGGTAAAGATTGGGTTTGTTCTGCAGTGATTGGCTGGTGAACAGTCCAGGGTGTAACCCCGCCTCTCGACCAATGACAGCTGGGATCGGCTTCAGCCCCCCCATGACCCTGAACGTATAGATAGAAGATTTAAACATCATGACTCTGAAAGAAAACAGACTGCAGCACTGTTTCTTCTTTTTTCCTCCCCGTGTGTTGTTTTATGTTTTCCTCCTAACCAGCCGTGTGTGTGTGATCATTATGACCCTCTCTGTGTGTGTGTGTGTGTGATCATTATGACCCTCTGTGTGTGTGTGTGATCATTATGACCCTCTCTGTGTGTGTGTGTGTGATCATTATGACCCTCTGTGTGTGTGTGTGTGTGTGATCATTATGACCCTCTCTGTGTGTGTGTGTGTGATCATTATGACCCTCTCTGTGTGTGTGTGTGTGTGATCATTATGACCCTCTCTGTGTGTGTGTGTGTGTGATCATTATGACCCTCTCGTGGTGTGTGTGTGTGATCATTATGACCCTCTCTGTGTGTGTGTGTGTGATCATTATGACCCTCTCTGTGTGTGTGTGTGTGATCATTATGACCCTCTCAATGTGTGTGTGTGTGATCATTATGACCCTCTCTGTGTGTGTGTGTGTGATCATTATGACCCTCTGTGTGTGTGTGTGTGTGATCATTATGACCCTCTCTGTGTGTGTGTGTGTGATCATTATGACCCTCTCTGTGTGTGTGTGTGTGATCATTATGACCCTCTCTCTCTGTGTGTGTGTGTGTGATCATTATGACCCTCTCAATGTGTGTGTGTGTGATCATTATGACCCTCTCTGTGTGTGTGTGTGTGATCATTATGACCCTCTCTGTGTGTGTGTGTGTGATCATTATGACCCTCTCAGTGTGTGTGTGTGTGATCATTATGACCCTCTCTCTGTGTGTGTGTGTGATCATTATGACCCTCTCAATGTGTGTGTGTGTGATCATTATGACCCTCTCTGTGTGTGTGTGTGTGATCATTATGACCCTCTCTGTGTGTGTGATCATTATGACCCTCTGTGTGTGTGTGTGATCATTATGACCCTCTGTGTGTGTGTGTGTGTGATCATTATGACCCTCTCTGTGTGTGTGTGTGTGTGTGTGTGTGTGTGTGATCATTATGACCCTCTCTGTGTGTGTGTGTGTGATCATTATGACCCTCTCTGTGTGTGTGTGTGATCATTATGACCCTCTCTGTGTGTGTGTGTGTGATCATTATGACCCTCTGTGTGTGTGTGTGTGTGTGATCATTATGACCCTCTGTGTGTGTGTGTGTGTGTGTGTGATCATTATGACCCTCTGTGTGTGTGTGTGTGTGTGATCATTATGACCCTCTCGATGTGTGTGTGTGTGTGATCATTATGACCCTCTCTGTGTGTGTGTGTGTGATTATTATGACCCTCTGTGTGTGTGTGTGTGTGATCATTATGACCCTCTCGATGTGTGTGTGTGTGTGATCATTATGACCCTCTCTGTGTGTGTGTGTGTGTGTGTTGTGTGTGTGTGATCATTATGACCTCTCGATGTGTGTGTGTGTGTGTGTGTGTGTGTGTGTGATCATTATGACCCTCTCGGTGTGTGTGTGATCATTATGACCTCTCGGTGTGTGTGTGTGTGTTGATCATTATGACCCTCTCGTGTGTGTGTGATCATTATGACCCTCTCGATGTGTGTGTGGTGTGTGTGATCATTATGACCCTCTGTGTGTGTGTGTGTGTGTGTGTGTTGTGTGTGTGTGGTGTGTGTGTGTGTGTGTGTGTGTGTGTGTTGTGTGTGTGTGTGTGTGTGTGTGTGGTGTGTGTGTGTGTGTGTGTGTGTGTGTGTGTGTGTGTGAGATCATTATGACCCTCTCGGTGTGTGTGTGATCATTATGACCCTCTCGGTGTGTGTGTGTGTGTGTGTGTGTGTGTGTGTGTGTGATCATTATGACCCTCTCTGTGTGTGTGTGATCATTATGACCCTCTCGGTGTGTGTGTGTGTGTGTTGCAGTGCGTCCTCTGCGTCTCCTACGTCGATGAGAACAACATTCGACTGGTGAAGAGATCTCAGAAGAAAAGTTTACAAGACATCAAAGCCTCGTCTGTTCAGCCACGAAAGGTAAAGCTCAGCGGCAACTTCCTGTGTTGAAAATGAGTCAATGAGGAAGTGCAAAATAAAACTGCAGTTCCTCGAGTGTCCACTTGAGGCTGTCACATACACACCCTCTTATTAAAATGAACATATTTAAAACCTCTGTCTTTATCGGCTGCTCTTCTTTAATGTTCCTCTCGGCTCAGTTGTGTTTGTGAGCTGTAAAAACAGCTTCCTGGTTAATTAGTTGGTACTTTATTGTCATCCTGACAGGAGGACACGGGACACCTGAGGGCCGTCCTCCCTCTGCTGCAGACAGATCGTGAAGCTCCGCCTCCTCTAGAAAACAAACCCGTCATGAACGCGGGGCCTCGACGCCCCTCCTGGTGTCGGTGTGACCGCTGCTCGCCGTCCTCGCTCCCGCACGAGGAGCTGTGCTGCAGGAGGAGCGACGGCGCCTGCATCACTTCGTCTCCTCTGTTCGAGCAGCTCGTGCTGCGTCGCCCCCTGCTGGAGGCCGTCCTCCTGTACAGGGACCCTCTGACTCCGCCCCCCGGTCCGGCTCAGACCGCCTCCCTGCGGCACTGCGCCTACAGACAGTACATCAGCTGGAGGTTGGGGGTCCCGCCCGCAGACACCCACCCTATCATCCCACGCTGCTGCGCGTGGAGGATCAGGGAGGAGTACCCGAGCCCGGACGGACAGTACAGCGGCTTCAGACCGGCCAGGGCGCCGTCTATGCAGGCGTGCGCTAACGGAGAGCTGTGAGAGAAGCGTTTACACAACACTAACACACTAACAGTTTTTCATGTTTAATCTGCCTTAAAAAGACAAAGAAATGTGTAAAATAACGAAGCTGCACAGGAGACAGAGAAGGGTCAGTGTACGTCGGCCTGCGTTCAGTTTCCTCGCTGAGTCAACAAATCTGTGAACTTTCACACGTATGTTGTAAAGTCTTCTGCCTGCCCAGTAAAAACAAATACAACAACTTCTCTTACTCTGACTCCCTTTCCCTTTTTCCCTCTACATGGTAACATTAACGCCACCTTAGCTCAGATATTTTCCTCTCTGTTGCTCGCTACGTGGATGATGATGCACAGATCGTGCATTTTGTCTATTGTTCTGCAGGCGCGCTGACTGATCCGTCATCCATCTGTTAACATGTGGATAGTTAATGGATGGATGCAAGACAGGAAATACATTTTCTAACGTTCTGTGTTTAACAGAGGAGGTTGAAGTAAACTCAGTGTGATCTTAGGAAGTAAAAGTTGGACACTTTTACACCCTGATGGTAGAGGCTGCTGAGTATTAACTCATCCATTCATACACAGTCACACACTGCAGACAAAGCAGGGGGGGCAACTTGGGGTTAAGCGTCTTGCCTAAGGACACATCGGTCATGTGGCTGCAGGAGCTGGGGATCGACCCTGACCTTCCGATTTAGAGATGTCCGACTCTGCCACTGAGCCCCAACCAGTTATTTTTCTACAATTCACTTATCGGATGCTTTTATCCAAAGCACCAAACATCAGAGAGTAAGAACTCAAACAAGGATCTAGAGTGGAGGAGACAACGTCAGGAAGCGATCGGACACACAGGTGCTGACAGGAAGTGACCACAGGTGCTGACAGGAAGTGACCAGAGGCAAACTACAACATCGACAGCTTGAGAGTTCTCTGCATCAAAACACCCTCAATATCATCATCATCACTTTGGAAGTTCATTCCACCACCAGGGGGCGACAGAGGAGAAGAGTCTAGTCAGAGACTTAGGACCCTGTTGTGAAGGTTGGATCAGACGCCTTTCATTGGCAGAGAGTAGTGGGGGGGGGGATGTAGACCTGGATGACAGAGTTAAAGTTAGGAGGAGACGTTTTTGAGTTTTAAATTTGATGTGATCAGAAACTGAGCGTCAGTGGAGGGAGATGAACAGAGGAGAGACATGTGATGTGGGGAGACGAGTCGTGCTGCTGCGTTTTGGATCATCTGCAGAGGTTTGTTAGTGAATGCAGGAAGAATTGGTGATGTATGCCTATGCTAAGCTAACCATCTTCACCTGTAACTTGTATTCCAGCGATCATAAATGAGAGCAGAATGGATGTTTTTAAACTCTCTGCAGTACAAAAAGCACATGTCCCTCTAAGGCTGCAGCCCGAGTGGTATTACACTACAGTAAAAGCTAAACCAGAACAAACCAGATTATAGATTTATTAAATCACTGCAAACATCTTGTGTGTGTTTGTGTTTCCTCACATTCTCCCTTCTTATATCTGATGAAATGTAACGTTAATCTTTAAGTGCATGGCAACGCAGCGGCAGTTTCCCCCCGACGTTCTCCAGGGAAGACAAATGGGATATTTTCTTCTTCTTACAGTCAAAGTCAACACAGTGCAGACGCTCCGACAGAAACACAAACAGCATTAGATCACACTGAACCCTCAGCGGGTCTGGGAAAATATCAGGGAGGATTCAATGATCTGCTCTTAAAGGTTTATTTATCGGTGACAGAGAAGTTCCTGAAGCAGTATAATTCACACACAACGCCTCAGGGAAACTCCTTACTCTGTGAGATAAATATAACACACATCAGAAGAACTAAATGTTCTCCAACCAAAACAAGAAGGAGAGTATGACGTGAATGTCCCAGCAGTGATCCTTCACATCACTGATCATCACTGACATTCAGTCTGATGTGCGCTCACAAATCTG